GTCTGTAAAAAATACGTTTTTGAGGAAGAAGAAGAAGTAGCATTTTTTTTTTCTTTAGACTTTAGAAACTCAGAAGCTGATCAAATATCGGGTTAAATATCGGTGGGTGGCCGATGTCCGATATTCAGTTTTAAGGCCGATACAGGCCGATACCGATAGGGGGCCGATTATATCGTGCATCCCTACATGACACAATGTAAAATTTGCTCCTAATGTTGAAATATGACCATGAAATGGATAGATAAGATACTTCAAACACTGACCCTATACACTTTATCCCCTTTGATATTTCTCGCCCATAATATAATATATTCCGATCCATACGTCTGGTTGGAACTGTATGACAGAATACCTGCACTGTTAAAGTGACTGAAAGCCTCGCCATATCTTTGTAAGCCATGAAAGGCAAAGGAAATGCAAGAAGGATAGAAGGCACAGCAAACAAACTCACTGCAAAGGCAAAGAGTAAAATGAAAGTCAGTGTGAAGGTGTTTTTGGTTTATGTCGTCACGCTTCAGGGATGTTAAATCTTGTTGTTCTGGTGTTTATTCTGCATTTGTGAATTCATGATTGAAGCCATTCATCACTTTCAGCAGCAGATCCTACCTCCATCATGTCTATCAGCCACAGCAGCCTCTCCTACAGATGGGGAAATATGGGGAAGGTTACACACAAAGAACTGGGGGTATTTTCAGGTTGTAGAGATAAATCCCTTTAAAATATCAGCTGAATTGATCTTATTTTCAGCAGGCGGAAAATGAAATGTATCACCGATGACTCTGTGCATTATAAAAGCATCTTTCTGAAACAGATATCAAGCAATGCTCCAGAGAATGATAATCTGCAGCTCTGAAAAACAAATCAACAAAATGAACAAAAAGCTGAACTGAAATTTTACCCAAACATAAAAAGTCCCTGCCTAAAGCTGGAGACTATGTAAAGACTTATGCTTCCAAAACTACTATCCCTTGTCCTACCACTTAAAGCTCATCTAATAAAGTGCCAAAGAACATGCTGAAGTAAGCTCAACTTTTTCTGGCTATATGGAGCAAAGAGAATATTACCAACATTACAATAGCTTTCCCAAAAGTAGGCAGATGGAACCACTTCTTTTATTAAATAATCTCAATTTTCTACATGTAAAAGTCACAGAAGTTATTGTTTTTGTACCCATACTGTAAGTACATGATTAAAGATTAGCACACATCTATTGTGATAATGAGATAATAACAGAATGTTTTTGTCTCACAGAAACCTGGCTGCAGCAATAGGATTCTTTTAGTAAGTACATTCCTAGCAATTTAAAAGTTTCGCATAAAAACTGTTCAAAGAGGAGTTGCAACCATCTTTCCATCTGACCCATTGATTAGTCCCAGGAAAACACCAAGAGCTATGATTTTTTTTTTTATATATATATATCTGATGCTTAATATTCATACCTTACATTAAAACTTTATCTTTTTTTTTTTTGGTGGTTTGGTTTCTTTTCCAACAGAAAAATCTCAAAGCCAACCGAAACCTTAAATCAGATGAGAACTTTTAATTTGCTTATTGGTCTGATTTGTCCGGGTCAAGAGAACCAAACGAAATACCAGAAGTATTCTGCCTTCTGAGCATAAAAAAAAAAAAAAGCAGAGAATTGAACTTGTTAACTGGCCCTTCCTAACCACTGTATGTATATGGTGCTTCCAAATTTTCAGTTTCTTACAAAAAAAATAAGGCTACTATCTGCCATTGCCACAGTTATATATGATAGGCTAGAATCCCCCATGTTGACTGACACCACATTCAACCAATTGGGTAAAGAAAGGGGTTTCCATAACCATATAGTGTCACTTAGCTTCCATAAATACGCCTAAATCGTTCACTAATATTTCCGAACAGTAAACACAGACACTACATCTAAAACCACTGATACATAACCAGTAAAATGTCTGACAAGTGGATATGCGACCGTATTTTTTTCCCCCCGATATGACTCCATAAACCCTCTGGGTAATCAGCAGGTCTCCCCTGCGTAAAAGTAAGAGTTTGTACACCGGCGAGTAAACAGTGTTAACAGTAGTTTTTCTCACCAACTAATGTTCAGAATTCTTCAAAACAGAATAAATTTTTTAAGTTGCGTAACAATAAAACTTACAGAGTGGCTTATAATTTATTAGAGGAGTTTGTCACCGATTTGACTGGTTTTATGGCTGCAGAATTCAATAAACGAACGGCTGTTCCTCACACAAGGTGATTATATTTAGTTTAGCTTTATATTCTCTGCTTATCTTTGTATTATATGTCATTTAGATGTAAATATGTATGAAATGATGCACTTGATAAACACCATAACACTATTTACTGTACACTATTGTCATGCCACCTTTTCTGTGCATGTTGGTGTTTGTNTTAATTGTGAACACAACATTTTAAAGACAACAACTGGAATAACAGGTCGCTGGTAAGAGGGTTCGGCAGAGCAAGATGTGGAATTATTAAAAATTTTTATGCAGTATTTACAGTTAAAACTATTTTGACTGCAATCATGAGAACTGCAGCCTGTTAACTTCCTAAAGATATAAGTTTGTTTAATCGATCCCATCCCAAAAACTTTTGCTCGAACTTGCAACATAAACCTAGCTGCTGCTTTCAATATAGGTCTGATCATTTCCACACATTAGGCTCTTCATAAACCCAGCAGATTAAAGGAGAAATATACCAAAGTTTTATTAAAATAGAATAAATACCTCCGGGGTTTATAACACCATTATTATAAAGACTGTCACAAGAGTCATGACCAGGCTTGGACTAGGAACAATTTTCGGCCCTGGCATTTTTATGGACCACTTATGGACCCCCAACCCCCGAAAAGAAAAAGAAAAATAGAAGCACAGTCAAACACGTGCGTCTCAAATGTGAAACACAATATGAATGCACATTGTGGATAAACCGATCTATCTTCAAGCATCACATGACAACCATCACCAAGACTTCTATAATGTGGTTTCACTGGCTTTGGTTGTAAAACGTCCCCACTCACCACATCAGCACGGTTGCCAGATGTCACTGACTCACATTTTGCAGCCCAAAAAAGTTTTACCGCCTGGATATACGATTTGTCACCCAATTTGAACCAAAGTCTATTGATCTTTTAGGCCATGAATCTAAAGAAAAACATTTTTTACCCATAGACGGCCATCTTAACCTGCCAGATTGGGAAACATCTCAACCTGGCAACAATACATGTAAGACGGGAAACGATAGCCTTTAGATGCAAAACCACTGCAACATATTTTTGCTAAATATTTGAACATAAATTCACCAAATATAAGAGGAACATTCTAGTTTGGTTTAAATAAAGCATTTTAGTTTTATTATAATTTAGTTTGCTTCAAGGATTTTACAGTTTGACATAAAAAAATTACACCATATGCCAACCGTCACAAGGATGTGCATGACAAGGAAGGGCTATATATACTGCATGCATCATTTAGGTAGTTATCATTATATTACTTTTCGAGTTCCTTTAGTTATTTTCTATCACAGGTAGGAGCTTCAGTTGGAGAGTAAGTGTTGGGGCCGGTATGATTTAAGGAGGGCCGGCCCTCGCACGCGGAAATTAGGATCGTTCCACCGGGCAAATGCTCGGTATCACAGATTACCAGTCCAAGCCTGGTCCTGACTCACACCAGATCTCTGCTGAAAACAATAAAATCTTAAAAAAAACTGTCCTGTAAAACAACATAATTTAGATCATTTTATAGTCTATAGTAGTCTATAGTTTTTAGTCTGTTTCCTAAAACTCTGAGATCTGTAGAAGCGTATCGCTCTTTTAATTTAGGACTGAAAACGCTGGTGTTTACTGCAGATTTCCCATAAAGATCAAAGGTAAGTTTATCAAGTAACTTCCTATTACTCTAAAAGTTTTTTTTTTTTTTTATCATTTCCTTTTAATCAAATGATATGCTGATTTAATGGTTCAAGCTGACATTTCCAGACTGTGTCATTGTTTATTTTGTTTTGTTTTTCCAGTTCAAACAAACAAATTGGAACAAATTATGTGTATTTGTTTGGATGATGACAACAATGAACCTAAACTATTTAAAATCAATTCTGCTTTGTTGGACCATTTATTGAATTAAATAGTATTTCAAATCTAAATAGTTTAAAGATCAGATGGTAAAATAATGAAGAAAATAATCCCTAATAATCCAAAGAAAACTCTGACAACTACTAATTCAGATGCTTTAAAAGATTCCATAATGTCTTGTCGTTTGGGAGCAGAAAGCAAAAAAGCACAAGGAAAAGATATTTGTGTGTCAGATGTAAAGCTGGCCTACCCGTGCAGAGCTGAGCGTTGTGTTGGTCATGAAGCTGGCTGACGATGATGTCAGCGTGTCTGGATAAGACACCATGGAGAGACAGTCCGGCTGCATGTTTGTGGCCCCTGTGGTCCCCTGTCGAGCTTTGAGGGCCTGAATCTCCCGCCGGAGCACCATCCCATCAAAGCGCTCCAGATCTTGCGGGGTGACAAGGCCTCGCACCTCTGACAGAAGGGAAAACTGGGAAAGAGGAGAAAAGTAGACATATGGAGTGAGTTTTATAGCTTTAAAAAAACATGGTGATAAAAATCTCAGCTGATAAAACAACCCAAAAACCTAAAGTTTTAAATCTCATTAAAACCCAGGAAGCTGCAGCTCAAACTGCCGGTTCTATATTGATTTTTCTTTTAGTTTCTATGCTTCTAACTCACCTTTGCATGCGTGTTTAGCAGCTCGAACAGCGCCATGACCAGCTGCTCAATCCCGATGTGCCCGTCCCTGTACTCCTCCACATAGTAGCTCATTGTCTGACATTCGGCCTCAGTCAGCAGGTGGCGTGCCTGCTCCTCCAGCATGGCACGGGATTGGTTGACCAGACTGGACAGGGTCACCTGCGACCCTGCCACTCCTTTATAAAACCCAGGCTGAGATCACAGGAAGAAAGACAGAACATAAAGGTATTATGTTGATGTTTTCATTTAGTTATTAACATTTGTGAAAATCTTTTTTTCTCTGTTAAGCCCTGAAAGGGCTGAAAACTAATTTTCTCCTGGAAATAAAGAGCGAAATATATCAGGAAAACCTTCACAGTTATTGGGTGTTAAAACAACCTGTTCATACCCGTCTAAAAGTAAGAAACAAAATAAATGTAACTGTTTCTGTACCTGATTTGTTTTTTGATCACATTTATTTCTAAATACATGGTAAAAAGATTTGATCATTTATCTCTTTGACTACATGTGCCATACAATTTGAACTGAGTCAGATAGAGAAAATGTATTCCACTAATGTGTTAGTGCGCAGGGTGACAGGCGGAGCTGTCATTTTGGCACAACTTAGCCAAAAGTGCCCAAAATGTCTTTTATACCTCATAAAAAGGAAGAAAAAAGAGACAAAAGAAGACAAGAGATGTTTTCAATGGGACTGCTAACATTCACCACTGGCATAATCAAAATGTACCATTGTGCGAAACAAAAAAAATTATTAAAAAGAAAAAAAAAGTAAATTAAAGATTTCATTTTGTCTCCTAAAAGATGGACTTTATGGGAAAAAAGAAATACAAAATACAAAAAAAAAAAAAAAACAAAATTGAGAAATAAGAAAAAAATATCAGTGAAACCGTTTCACTGAAATCTGCAGAAAAACATTTTAAACAGTTTAAGAAACAAATAAACAGGACTTTCAAGAAGCCCTTGAGCCAGTACTACATAAATAGCCAGCTAATGTCCATAAATATGCAAAGAGAAATAAAAACTAAAAAAGGATGCATCATAAACAAACTTAAAATATAAAGCAGATGGAAATTAATTTATCTCATTATAAATTATCATATTTCAACCAAAATAAAAATTATATTCGCAACTTCAGTTTAAAGCAGAAATGCAATGTGTAATTTGCTGTGTGCATTAAGATTGGTTTGTAATATTGATATTGCTTCCTTAAAAGGTGTTAAAAAGATGCTCCACACATCGTTAAAAGGGTGAGTTACTCACCTGATGTCCTCTAGATAAACACCATTCATCGCAGGGCTTTGGTTTCATTTCATTTATGAAGAAAATTTAATTGTTGTTTCGGTGTATACCAGACATTTTTAAGAACTTAAGCTCCCTTTTTACTTTAAACTGTTATTTTCTAAAAGATATATAGATATGGAAGTTTTGTATTAAAGACACAACTTAAAAAAAAGTGACAGATCAATAACGAAAGCAGAGGGAACAGAAAAAGAATGACTGGATGTAAAGTGAGCCAAAGAGCTGAAGATGGGAACTACAGCAGGAAATAATGAAACCTAGCATGAAAAAATGACAGATTTCACCAGCTAGCCATGAGACAGCACTTCCATCTTAAATGCATAAATTACCCTTACAGTTCTTTCTTCCTGTTTTTCAACCCTCTTTCATTATCATTAGTTTCTGGTTGCCGCTCGCTGCTGAACAGAAGCTGTGATGTTCACACATGTGGGTATCAGGGTTTTTTTCTCGTTGCAGCTGTCAGCATTGTGCCAGATGGCTTCTCTGTCATCCAGAAACTTCTAAGCTGTCAATATCACTTCACAGCTCCATATCTGCTCCCCTTTCTCCCTCCTCTGTCTGCGTCTTGTTTCCCTTTCCGTTATCTCTTCGCCTCCAAGCAGCTATTCTTTAATTAACTCCTTAATCAAAGACAGCACTTCAAAGTGGAAGCTTCGGGGTCTTTGCCTGACTCTGTTTGTGGAGATGCAAACAAAAGACGAAAATGGGCCCCGTGCACGACTGAGCTCCCTCCCACCTCCTCCGCCTCTGCTTTCTCCTTTCCAGCTCATCTTCAACCTCTGCTCACACCCAACTGTCGCTATTATCAGCTGTGGTTGTTGCAGCTTCCCTGTTTGAGCAGAGCCAAAAAATTTGACATGCCCAAGGTGAATTGAGCCACTGCGCCGCCTGAATCCTAATAACTGGAGTGCTTACCACCAGAATTCCTCTAAAGGATCCGTGCCACGGTTACTTAACTCAAGGGCGCAGTGGAGCGAGGCGACGGGACCACACAAGGAATGTGAGAGGCCTACTGCTGTCAGATTATCAAGCAGACTGACCACTGGGGGAGCTTAAAAAATATTTGTCACTCAACTGGAATAGACAATCTTACCTGCTAGGATCTGAGACACTTTTTCCATAAGAGTGCGGTTTTTAATTCAGTGCACATTTTATTTAAACGATCCACTCCATCACTGCGCTTAAAGTCCAGACCGCTCAATGTCAAATAAGCCATCAGAATGCAAACAAATAATACCTCTTTGTATACAAGGCAAGGGGTGTCACTATGAAATCTGTTTGATGTGATTATTATCATGATTTATGATTTGAACAGTGACTAAAACCGTCCTGTTGGCGTTTCTAGACCTCGGTATTTCAACAAACTTTATTTAAAGAGCCTGGTTGCTGCATTGTAGATATGGCAACTTGAGCAAACAAAGATCAACTGTGGGGTTCCTTAAGGTTATATTGTCTGGCAACTTTTTCCATCATTTGTATTCTCTGCAGTGCTGCAGTATATTTAGATAAACTTTCCTACAACTTCCCTCTCTGTCGTCCCCAGGCCGGCAGGGGGAAATAAAAGTCCCTCCAGCATGTGTTTAGTTGTGTTTTCCCCTGGGCTTCATTCTGGTTGGGCATGCCAGGAACAGCCCTGAAGGAAGGCACCAAGCCACTTACTGTAGACGACTCTTCTTGATGTAAAAGAGCAGCGGCTCCTCACTCTTTCTCAAAAGGCAGAAAAACATTTTTTTTTTTTGCAAATCAGCTCACTTCTTTCATGCTTCAAAACAAACAAACAAATAAATGATTGTTTAAAGCTCAAAGAAGGCTTTTCGAAGGATGAAAAGTGGCAGGGCAGACAATAACCTTTAAATAATCTCAATTCACAATTAATTCTGTATCAAATGACTGATAGCTAACATTTTAAACCTGCTCTTTTGTAGAGATAACCACGTATCATTCATAAAAAAAACCTCCAAATACGCAAATGTCATCTGGGATGTTTTTATAGACTTTATAGAGTTAAAAGATAACTGCATCTGAGTGAATTAATAAAATAGTAGGAAATTGAATTAATTAATTAATTAATTAAGAAGCTTAAGAGTTATTTAGTGGAACTAAGGTGTTTCTAAAAGATGTTTGTTCATCCTTCTTTCACATTTCATATGAGGGGGCCGTACAAGCCATAAAATATACTGTCTATCTCATAAACATATATTTTGCGTATTCTTCTCTCCACTGGAGAGAAGGCCACTGGAAAAAAAAAACTTTACTAATTTTAAAATTTTGTTTCAATTTAGTATTGGAAAAAAGTCAGAATTCCGACTTTTTTCTCAGAATTCCGACTTTTTTCTCAGAATTCCGACTTTTTTCTCAGAATTCCGACTTTTTTCTCAGAATTCCGACTTTTTTCTCAGAATTCTGACTTTTTTCTCAGAATT